CAGGGCCCCCTCGCCTCCGCCTGTGACCTCGGCCTGGCTGCTCGGTCTCCTGCCAGTGCCCCCTGCCCTCTGCGCGCGTCTGGGGGCTTTCTTGCCAGCCGGGAGGGAAGGGGGATTGTGGCGGACAGTGAGAAAGCCCCTGGACACCGGAAGGCTTGTGGGGGTGCGCCTGGGGGAGAGAGCCCGGTCGGGATTTCTGGCTCACCGGGAGACCCGGGGTCGGGTGCCTCGGTTTCCCTCCGATGCCGTCGTGCCGTGCCTTGCGCGGCTGTGCCCGGGTGTTGGCACGATGGGTTGGATGGAGCAGGCAGTGGAGGTTGGGGCTGGGGGCGTAGCGGGGAGGAACGTGCCGGGCTTCCTGTGGCCCCTCACCGGGCCCAACACCAGCCTCGAGGGGCTGAGGAGGGGAGGTCGCCAGCCAGTCTGGCAGGAGGCCGCGCGCCTGGCGTCTGAGCGAGTCCCACGTCCATGGCGGGCTGGCTGGCGGGGAGCGACGCGGGCGGGTAGACACCAGCCGGCGTGAAGTCATGAGCCTGTGCAGACGGCGGGCTCAGGGCGCGTGGGTGCGGTGGCCTCGCAGGCGACGCGGAGGTTGCTGGTTCTGAGCCTGCCCTCTTGGGGGTGGGGGCGGGAGGCAGGGAGGGGTTTGCCTGTTTCTAGGCCAGCTCTAATCCCTTAGGATGCGATGTCGGCTCTGCTGGGTCCAGGCACTCGGCATCGACTCCTCTGCTCCATCCCACCACTCGCCCCCCCCTGTCCTATATATCTTCTCCTCTCTCCCCTTCCTTCTGTTCTTCTGCTCTGGGAAGATGGCCTGGGTTGGGGCTTGGCTGGAGAAGTCCAGATTGGAGGGATCCGGCTTGGCACGGGATGGGCAGGAGGACGGGCAGTCGGGATCTCAGGAAATCCCTAGATCTTCTTTTCTAGCCTCAGCTGCCTTTTATCTGTCCCCCTCCCGTTGCAGGGCCTCCAGCGTGAGGTCCCTGAAGAAGCTCCTCCACCGGTGACTGTGGCTCCCAGGGGAGGGGGCGGTCCCCTTCTCTCCCCAGATCAGGCTGTGGCCATGCAGACTGTCCGCCCTGCCACAGGAGAAGCCCAGGCCTCCCCCGGACCTCCCGAGTCCTCCCATGGCTGGCTCCCATCCTGTGGGGCGGGGAGGGGCTGCAACCTGCATTGTCCCAGTCGGCAAGGTTCTGGGGAGAGCAGGCGGGCTCACGGCGTTTCCTCCCCTCTCCCTGGGGCGGGCAGCCAACAAGCACAAGCCGTGGATCGAGGCGGAGTACCAGGGCATCGTCATGGAGAATGACAACACCGTCCTGCTGAACCCTCCGCTCTTCGCCCTGGACAAGGATGCCCCCCTGCGCTATGCAGGTGACCGGGGTCCCGGCAGGGCAGGGCGGAGAGAGGTGGGCGGGGGACGTGGGGGCAGGCCGGAGAAAGCAGAAGCCGCCTGAGCGGGAAAGGGCTCCTTTGGAGGACAGAGGTTGCTTCGAGGCTGCCAGAGAAGGACGTGGCGGCCAGGGCTTCAGCATATCCCAGTTCCCCTGATCTCCGGCCTGGAGGCTCTGGGAGGAGGCTGCTGCCCAGGGAGGCCGGGCTGGGAGTCCTTGCTTGATACTGGCAGCTTTTATCCTGCAGTGAGGGACGGGGCTTGGGAGGACAGGCGGAGCTGGGGCCCCCGTGGGGAGGCTGGAGCCTCACTCCCTCCCTGCCCACGACCAGGCGAGATCTGCGGCTTCCGGCTGCACGGCTCTGGGGTGCCCTTCGAGGCCGTGATCCTGGACAAGGCGACGGGGGAAGGGCTGATCCGGGCCAAGGAGCCGGTGGACTGCGAGGCCCAGAAGGAGCACACCTTCACCATCCAGGCCTACGACTGCGGCGAGGGCCCCGACGGGGCCAACACCAAGAAGTCCCACAAGTGAGGAGGGCTCGGCGCGGTCCCGCGGGCCCTGGGCCGGCTCTCTGCTCCCCAGCCCCTCCCCGTCCCTGCGCATGCCTGCCTTCAGTTTCCACCCCCGCCCCGCGGGTCCGGGGGCTCAGGGAGCCTCGGCCACGGGGCAGAATCACACGGCCGAGGGGTGTGGTCCTGTGTGCCCCTGCGGACCTCGGCGACCCGCTTAGTCCCTCTGGGCCTGCTTTTCCTGGCGTACGAAACGGAGATAGTGACGGTGCCCCCTTCCCGGGGCCGCTGTGAGGGTTAAAGCTGCTTCTGTTGGAAGCACATACCGCAGGGCCTGCCCGCCGCGTGGGGCTCAGGACGTGGGAGTTCGGCTGTCTCAGTTCGGCTGTCTCGGGAGGAGCGGGGAGGACGGAGGAAGAGGACGAGCGCTCCCAGGTCTGGCCCGGCGTCCTCTCCCCGGCCCCTCCGGCCTCTTGGCAGTGCGCACCACACGCAGCTTGGGACACGCGCGTCCGCTCTAGGCAAGGGTGGGCGGGGCATGCTCGTGGCACAGACGGGCCCTGGTCGGGACGCCTTCGCCTGTTGCCAGCAAACTTCTCATTTGAGACTCGGAGGGAGACCTGCAGTCGGGCTTCCTGGGCCGCTGAAAGGCACCAGGACAAAATGCTTTTTGCGGCCGGGTGCGACAGCTCGTGCCTGTATCTCGGCACTGTTGGAGGCTGAGGTGGGAGGAGGATCGCTTGAAGCCGGGAGTTTGAGGCCAGCCTGGGCAACACAGTGAGGCCTTGGCTCTTTTTTTTTTTTTTTTTGAGTTGGATCTCACTCTGTCACCCAGCCTGGAGCTCAGTGGCCCACTCACGGCCACCCCAGTGTTGACCTGCTGGGCTCCAGCAATCCTTCCACCTCAGCCTTCCAAGTAGCTGGGACAATAGGTGTGTGCTACCATGCCTGTATAGTTTTTGATTTATTGTAGAGATGAGGTCTCGCCAAGTTGCCCAGGCTGGTCTTGAACCCGCAGGCTCAGGCAGTCCACTCGCCTCGGCCTCCCAAAGTGCTGGGATTACAGGCTGAGCCACCGAGCCTGGCTGAGACCTCGGGTCTTAAAAAAAGAATTTTAGACCGGCATGGTGGTGAGCACCTGCAGTCCCAGCTACTTGGGAGGTCGAGGTGGAAGGATTACCTGAGCCCAGAGAGCGGAGGCTGTGGCGACTGGATCACTGCACTCCAGCCTGGGTGACTGAGTGAGACCCTGACTGGAAGAAAATTCTTCTTGTGGCTCGGTTTCCCGTTCTTACCTGGCCTCTGTGCCCTGGGAGCCCGAACCTCAGCGAGGGGCGGGCCCAGCTCTGCCTGCCTGGTCCTGGTCTGCGGCAGCTTGGTCTTTCCCCCGTGTTGCTCGTGTCAGCAGCCCTGCCCTTTCTGGTTTTCTTTAATCCGCTCTCCTTTATTCAGCCGATGTCTCCTCGGTGCCGGTGGAGTCCTTGCCCTTCTGCTAGATTCTGGGGTACTCTGAGTGGAGCAAAATCTTTCGTTTTTTCGCGCATGTGCATGGAGGGCAGCACAGGCCTGCACGCTCCATTCCGACGTGCCAGGCGACTCAGACTCTGGTCCAAATGCCGCTTCCCTTCTCGTGGCTTGAGTTGACTGGGCTCTCGCGCTGCGTCTTCCCTGAGGGTCCTGAGGCCTCGGACGGCCGGGAGGGCGGCTGCTGGGCGCTGGGCCTTCCCCCCGGCTGGACACGCTCACCTGTGGCACTGTGTGCCCAAGTCCTCGACCCTGTACTCGCGTTTCCGGGGCTTGCTCCTTGTCTCTGGCGTCAGCCGCCCGTTCCCTCTCGTCACCCTGTCTCTGGCGCGACTCCACGCAGCTCGGGGCCCCGTGGGGCAGGCGCGGCTGGGCTGGGGACGGCCTGTGGGGACTCGGCGTGGGCCCTCTAGGTGTCCTGCGGAGGCTGGCCGAGGCGTCCTCATCCGCCTCCCCCTCTGCCGCGCGCAGGGCGACCGTGCACGTGCGGGTCAACGACGTGAACGAGTTCGCCCCGGTGTTTGTGGAGCGGCGGTATCGCGCGGCTGTGACCGAGGGGAAGCTGTACGACCGCATCCTGCGGGTGGAGGCCGTCGACGGCGACTGCTCCCCGCAGTACAGCCAGATCTGCTACTACGAGATCCTCACGCCCAACACCCCCTTCCTCATCGACAACGACGGTGTGTCCACCCGCCGCCCGGCCCTGCGCACCACGCCAGGGGCCGCTTGCCCTCCTTCCCTCTCCGGGCTCCTCTTCCTCCCAGGCACCCTCCTCCGGCTTCCTGCTGCCCCGGGAGCTTGCGGTCTGCCCCACCTCCCTGGGCTTTCTCCAGGGCTCCTGACCTCCCCCCCACCCCCAGGAAACATCGAGAACACCGAGAAGCTGCAGTACAGTGGCGAGAGGCTCTACAAGTTCACGGTCACCGCCTACGACTGCGGGAAGAAGCGGGCGGCGGACGACGCGGAGGTGGAGATTCAGGTGAAACCCACCTGCAAGCCCAGCTGGCAAGGTGAGGGGCTCAGTGCTGCGCCCCGCCGCCTCCCTTCTGAGGCCTGTGGGGCCGGGCTCGGGTCGGTGGGCTCGAGGCTGTCTACCCTGGCCAGACCGCCTTCCATGGCCTCCTTGGAGCCCAAAAGGAGGCTGGGGCGGGGAGGCTGCTCCCCCTGTCCCTCGCCATGGCCCTCTCCGCCTCCCCGCCGCAGGCTGGAACAAAAGGATCGAATATGCCCCCGGCGCGGGCAGCTTGGCTTTGTTCCCTGGCATCCACCTGGAGACCTGCGATGAGCCGCTCTGGAACGTCCAGGCCACCATCGAGCTGCAGACCAGCCACGTGGCCAAGGGCTGCGACCGGGACAACTACTCCGAGCGGGCCCTGCGGAAGCTCTGCGGTGGGTGGGCCCCGGTGCGCGTGCGGGCGGGCCCCTCCCACCCAGCCATCCAGCCTCAAACAGGGCCTCCCTGCCCCTTTCCAAAACCGTGCCTGGTGCTCCTCTGGCCAACCACGGGTGTCTCTCTGGGACACGTGGTGAGCGCTTGTGACCCCAGGTGGGTACGTGTGTCTTTGGCAAAGTCCGTGATCGTGGCGCCAGACAATCACCAGATGCATGCAGGAACGAGGGCAGGGACACGGAGAGAGAGAGCAGGGCCAGTGGCTGGGAGACAGTCCTGGGAGAGCCCACCCCGTCTTGCCCCCCAGGGGCTGCACGAGGCCACAAGACCAGCGGGGGCCACCCCTCCCGCGGCCCCTGACCCCGCGTCCGCCCCTGCCCTGACGCGTCCCGGCCCCGCAGGCGCTGCCCCCGGGGAGGTGGACCTGCTGCCCATGCCCGGCCCCAACGCCAACTGGACGGCGGGGCTCTCGGTGCACTACAGCCAGGACAGCAGCCTGATCTACTGGTTCAACGGCACCCAGGCCGTGCAGGTGCCGCGGGGTGGCCCGGGGGGGCTGGGCTTGGGGCTCCCGGATGGCCTCAGCGACCACTTCACCCTGGCCTTCTGGATGAAGCACGGCGTGACGCCCAGCAGGGGCAAGAAGGAGGAGGAGACCGTCGTGTGCAGCACCGTCCAGAACGGTGAGCCCCCGGGAGGTGGGCTTCCTGGCGGCCTGCGTTGCCGCTGTGAGCGCCGCGCACGGGCCCCTTCCATGCTCCGCGTGGGGGCCGGTGCCAGGCCTGGTGCTCCCGTTCTGCTGCTGTCGGAGCCCCTGGGGCTGCTCACCGCAGCACGCTCTCGCAGTCGCCCCGCCGTCCCGAGTCGTGTCCCTGCCGTCTGCATCCCCTGAAGCCCCTCGGGGCAGGGGGAAGCCCGGGCTGTGGTGGGCGCTGTTCCTGTCTCCTGCCCCCTCCGTCCTCCGGGCTCTCCCGCCTCAGCGCAGCTGCACGTCCTCGGGGGAGGGCCTGCCGCGACCTGCCCTCTCCTTCTGGCCACTTCTCTGACCCCGTTTCTCTGACCCGAAAAGCATTGTCAGCCATGATGTGTGTGTCGACCAGTGAAGAGCTGAGTGGGAGCAGGCTGGCCAGTGCCCCCGCTTCCTCCCTTGGCCCACCAGCCAGCATGCCTGAGAAGCCCGAGTTGTCACTTGGATGGGAGTGAGAGGGAGAGAGAGAGACACACACACACAGAGACATAGGGAAACAGAGAAACAGAGACAGAAGGTAGACAGACAAAGCGAGAGACAGAGGGGAGAGATACAGAGAGAGAGACAGACCAAGAGACACACAGAGAGAGAAGAACACAGAGAGGGACAGACACACACAGAGAGAGAGAGTGGTAGAAGATGGACAAAGAGAGATGGAGAGACAGAGAGAGAGAGAGAACAGACACACAGAGACACACAGGGAGAGAGAGAGACAGAGAGAGAGCGCCCATGCTAGAGATGAAGGGAGTGAGAGCCGTGAGGGAGGAGCCTGAGGATGGTGTCCCCTCCTTGCCGTGCTCCCGCGTGTCCCGCCCAGGCTCTGCGCTTGACCACCACCCCACTCCCGCAGAGGACGGCTTCTCCCACTACTCGCTGGCCGTGCACGGCTGCAGGATCGCCTTCCTCTATTGGCCCCTGCTGGACAGCGCCCGCCCCGTCAAGTTCCTCTGGAAGCTGGAGCAGGTAAGGCCTGCCAGTCTCCAGGAGGCTGGGTGGGCATGACTCACGTCTAGGGAGGATGGTCCCAGGGCGGGGTGGGCGGCTCCCGGGCGTCCTTTGCTGCTTCTGCAGCCTTCCTTGCCAACCCCTGGCTGTTCCGCTCCCAGGCTCTCTTTTTCCAAGTCCTGTTCCCTTCACAAGGCACCGGACTGAAAGGACACAGGGAGGAAATGGCCACTAGTGTCAAGCCCAAATGTTTTTGCTTGTTCTGTTTCGGTTCTTTTCTGGACCCTTCACAGCCTGTTGTAATCAAGGAAGTACATCGTTCAGATGTACACACACCGGGCTTGGGTCCTGCCAGAGGAGCTTCCAGGCTGTGAGATCTTGGTTAATATGTCTAAACTTCAGGGTTTTTTAACCTGTTAAGCAGGGTTAAAAGATTTCTGTAGTCCAGGGATGTTGTGGGATTAAATGAGGCAGTGGGCCCTGGTGGACTGCAGAGCTCCAGGACTTGCCAGCCCTCACCGCTGGCGACCATGATTGCAAAGGGAGAAGCACAAATGGGCGGAGCAGTTGAAACCCTTTCTTGAGCCGACAGGTGTGGTCTCTTCGTTGTCCATTTTCCAAGCTGACCACAAGGGCCAGTGAGGACTGATTTGAGCTTCCGTTTCCTTCTGCTTTTCTTGCAAGCTTCTGTGGAGTGGCCAAGAAGGAAAAAAAAAGCCAGGAAGTAGGAGAGAAAGAGAAATAAGTGCCTAGAAGTGCACATACTGGCTACCTGAGTGCTGTCTCCAAAGCTGCTGCTGTTCATGGCTCCCTCTCTTTTTTTTGAGTCGGAGTCTCACTCTGTCGCCCAGGCTGGAGTGCAGTAGCACACTCCAGGTTGACCTGCTGGGCTCAGGTGATCCTTCCACCTCAACCTTCCAAGTAGACGGAACTACATGCACGCACCACCACGCCCGGCTAATTTTTTGATGTATTGTAGAGATGAGGTCTCACCGAGTTGCCCAGGCGGGTCTCGGACCCGTGGCAATTCTCTCACCTCGGCCTCCCAAAATGTAGCTCTGTTTTAAAGAGAGTTGCTGCTGCTTTTTTTCCAAGATTAAATTGTCTTTTTTAGTCAGGATCTCGTTCTGTTGCCCAGGCTGGAATGCAGTGGCACTCTTATGGCCACTGCAGCCTTGACCTGCTGGGCTCAGGCGATCCTTCCGCCTCAGCCTTCCAAGTAGTTGGGACTACAGGCACGCACCGCCACACCTGGCTAATTTTTTGATTTATTGTGGGGCGAGGTCTCGCCAAGTTGCCCAGGCTGTCTCTAACCCATGGGCTCAGGCAGTTCTCTCACCTTGGCCTCCCAAAGTGTGGCTCTCTTTTAGAGAGTTGCTGCTTATTTTTTTTGATGTTAAGTTTTTTTTTTTTTTAAAGTCAGGCTCTCGGTCTGTCACCCAGGCTGGAGTGCAGTGGCACTGTCACGGCTCACTACAGCCTCAGCCTCCTAGGCTCAGGCCATCCTTTTGCCTTGGCTGTAGCTGGGCCTACAGGTGTGTGCCACCATGCTCAGCTAATTTTTTTGATTTTTTTATAGTGATGAGATCTTGCTGTGTTGCCTAGGCTGCTCGCAAACTCCTGGACTCAGGCCATCCTCTGGCCTCACGTGTGAGCCGCCACGCCTGGCCCCTGTCTGCTGCTGCTTGGTCTTTCCCCAAGGTGGCTGACATTTGTAACCTTGCCCTTTCTGTCTTTCTTTAGGCCACTCTTATTTATTCAGCTGATACTTATTCGGTGCCAATTAAATCCTTGCCATTCTGCTAGATTCTGGGGTCAAAACCTTTGCCTTCACTGAGCTTACGTTTTAATTGGGGAGAGAGAGTTTTCAGAAGTAAATGAGCTGGGCTCGGTGGCTCAGCCTGCATCCCAGCGCTTCGGGAGGCCGAGGTGAGTGGATTGCCTGAGCCTGCAGGTTCGAGACCCGGCTGGGCAACTTGGTGAGACCTCGTCTCTACAATAAATAAAAAAATGAGTAGGGCGTGGTAGCGCGCGCCTGTAGCTCCAGCTACTAGAAGGCGGAGGCCGAAGGACCGCCGGAGCCCAGCAGGCGAGGCTGCGGTGGCCGGGAGCGGCCACTGCACTCCAGTCTGGGCGACACTCAAAAAAAATATATAAATAAATAAATAAGGCCCAAATATCATACAATAAATTATCTAAAAGTAGGGAGGGTTTTTTTGTTCTTCCAACCCTGGAAATTGTGTGAGTGACTGGGTTTTTTTTTTTGTGTGTGTGTGTTAGAGTCTCACTCCGTC